ATAATACACCTTTGTGTAAATATACACACAAAACATTTGTTACTTTATCACTATATTGAAACAGCCCAGAAGCACTTGATACTCCAGCTGTAGTGAGCCCCACACTCTGAATTGGTGTTCAAAACGCCAGTCTTCCATAACAAGAGCCAGGAAGGACTTTTACTCAAAAGAGTGAATCTTGAGTAAGGTCAGGGAAAGCATTAAGTAAGGCTTGACCTTCTTGTGCCAGAAAATATCAGAGGACCTGCAGCCAATTTGAATGGATTCTGACTGTTCATGTCAGGGATAATTATATCATCCAAATAAGAATGATGGTAGTGGGTAACAACCTACTGATTAAGAATATATGGGTCCATGCTGACAAGTAAAATGAATAAGTAGTAGAAAAGCAGAGGAGGCTCTTTACAGTAGAATTCTAATAAATGTCTTCCCTCATGTGGTCTATTAATTTCAAAGAGGAAAATAATAAGTTTGTAAGGGTAAAACTTGTCATTCACCTCTTTAACCAAGTCCTCCAGCCTAACATCACCAGTACTGGACCAAACTGGCATCGTATGACTCTTGATAAGATGAACTGATTAAGACAAACATCACTTCCATGGCAGTACTGCAAGAAATGCATAAAATGAGTCTAGTCATGAAGAAACATCAGCTAAATCCAGATCAGTAGACATTTTGCAACTAGGTTAGTATTTTTTTTTAATCTCAAGGTAAAAAAACTAAAAAATGACATTCTAGAGTGAAATCTGAATGAATATCACCACTAAATAATTCATATTCCTTAGATTACATCTAGACCTGGAGCAGATATAACTGCAGAATATATTATTGAGCAATTGACAAATTTGCTGTAACTGTAAATCAAACAGTAGCATTATGTTAAATTTCTTTCTTCTTTTTTGATAACTGTTATATGTAAGATTATCCTTGATCTCAGAAATGTACAATGAAATGGTATGGGAATGCATTGTCTTCATCTTGCTCTTAACTGGTACAGAAAACAACATTTTAGTCATTATGATAATAAATATGATTCTTATTTTTCAAGCATTTCTCATGTTACATTTCAATGTTTCTGGAGTTATGTAGACCACTTCTTTTTTGTATGTTTGGGAGAATTTAGAGATTAGGATCATAAATTTATTATCTATGATGTCACCACCAAGTTAGAGATTATATTAGTCCCTTTTATATCACTACTTTGCAAGTGTTATGAAAACTACAGATTCTCTCTTCAGTGTGTGCATTTTACTTTTGAATATAAGTGGGGGAGTGCTTACAGATACCCTTGGCCCTATCCACTAACCCTTTCTTAAAAATCTAAGTCGAATGGTACATTCAGGTTTAGTATACATGTGTATTCACTAGCAAAAAAAGTTTGCTTCAATTTAGTGTTTACATTGTGGTTTCCAGCCAAATTCAGAAACATTTGTTGTTTTTGATAAAGATACGGATTCCAAATTTTATCCACTGTTCATTCACCAGGTATTTGTCAAGTTCGATGTTGCGAGTACTGTTCTAGGCTCAGCAGACAGCAGCGGGTAAAATGCCTCCCATTGTAGGCATCGCATTCCTGTGGTAGAGAAAGCAAATAAAATAATTGTAAATGTATATATCACATCATATAAGTGTCATGGAGAAGTTCAAGGCAGAAATAAGAGGGTCGATTTTTAAATAAGTTGGTTGAGGAACTTCACTGAGAAGGCTTCACTGAGGTGATAATATGTTAGAAAATATTTTTTTGTTTCGTTTTGTTTTTGGTACCAGGGATCGAACTTGGATCCCTCCTCTTGCGAGGCAGGCGATGGAATCACTGAGCTAAATCCCTGGCCCTATTTTAGCAAATCTTGAAGGAGATAGGAGAATGACTGCAGATACTCCAGGAAGACACAAGAGAAAGTACCAAGTTTCTGAGGTGGTGCAGGCTACTTGTTCTTGTTTAGCAAAGGGCATAGTACCTAAATCCAGAATAAGAAGGGAGAGTGATAGGAGATGTGCATGGTGAGCGTGAGTTCAGGCATAATTGACACTGTTGTTCTTGTGTTTTAATTATATTGTTCTTTCCACTGACCTGGACAAAGATGGTAAAAGTGAGAGTTACTAGGACATTATTAAATAATCAATCAGGAGGAAAGATAATAGTTGCTGAACAGAGTTTGCAGTAGAGGCCCTGGTGAGAAGTGTTTGGATTCTGGATAAAGTTTGAATATGAGCTAACTGATGCTAAAGGATTCATTGGTAAAGTGTGAGAGAATCAAGGAGCCAAAAAAGACTAAAGATTTGGGATTAAATAACTTTTAAAATGGAGTTCCTATACACCAACATGTGGAGGAACAAATTTAGTGGAGAAAAATGAGGAAGGTGATCAAACATGTCTGAAGTGTAATGTCAACTTGGATATATACATCCTGCGGTTCAGGAAGAGATTTTTGAAAGCCATTAAACTGGATGAGAGCATCAAGGTGAAGTGTAGGAAGAGAAGATAAGGAGTCTAAGAACTGAGTCTGGCACTCCCAGCCTTAACTCTAGAGAAAGAACCAGTATAAAGGACTGAAGGAATGCCAGCAAGATGAAAGAAAAATAAGGAGACCTTCATAAGCAGAAAACCAAGTGAAAAGAAGAATTAAGGCAGGAGAATGAATCAACATTTCATGCTGATGAGATTGAAGAAATGACATCTAAGCATTGGATTTAGCAGTACAGAAGTAACCTGTAGCCTTTATAAAAGGAGGGGCAGTGAGTGGTTAGCATAAGAATAGAGTAGGCTGGATTCAAGAGAAAATCAAAAAGGAACAATTGGAAGCAGCTCATATGAAACTTCAAGATGGTTATTTGGTGTATTATTGGAGGATGGCTTGTATCATATTTTTCGTAACTTGGACTAGAATTTTTTTTTTTCACTTACACCCTCATGTTATTCTTTTGTGCACTGAATTTGAAAATGCTTGATTCTGTCTGTGGTGGTTAGTGTTTTCCTACCCAATCATTCTTGGAGGTAACAAGTACAAATGATTTAAAAGTTAAATGAAGACTTTGCATACTGCTGCTAATTCTAGTAGCTGAAATTAGCAGTTGTCAATGATTTTCCCCCAATCTGGTTACCAAACAGGAACTTAAGAGGCCAGAGACAAAAGTAAAAAGTTCTTTATGCAATTCCTTTTTCCCAGAAAGGATATCTAATCAGCCAAAAGAAGCTGATGGATTTCAAAAATATTGACATCTTGAAAATTTCCTCCTGGGCCGGGAATTTAGCTCAGCAGTTCGGTGGCCTGCCTTGCAAGTGCAAGGACCTGAATTCAATCCCCGGTACCAAAAAAAAGAAAAGAAAATTTCCTCCTAAAGTATCATGTAATATCTAACATTCTTTATTTTAAAGAAAATAAACATAAAGTACATTAATTTCAAACTAACAAGTGTCAGAAATTTCTGTTAAATATTGTGCATGCCTATTTGGCCAAGTAAGGGTGTCTTAGGAACTGTGAAATAAAAATCAAACTTTATTATTTTATCTGCATTGGGGAAACTGTTTTAAGTGTATTTACTAAAATAAACCCTTTTTGCAGCCTAAACTAATGTTTTCAACTTCATATACTAATAAAGGAACCCAACCAATGTGGTTTAAACTTATCTACCCTGCTCATATTCTGAAATTAGGACTGAACAAATCTTATAAGGTAATTGTAATATGACTTTCCCAATAACTTCAGACAGGATTAAATTACTTCAGCTTGGAGAGTTTACTTTTAAAGATCTTAACAGCAGGCAATTTAAACTTCCCTAAGCAGCTTATTCGTTTAGTTTCAAAATGATTGTTTTTTTCATCTCTCAAAATATATTCTCTATCAATATACATTTTAGTAGCTGATCTATTAAAGCCTATTTTCCCTTATTTCATATTATTTCCATTTAAATAACAAATTGTAGTGGTAGTTATAGTTTACCAAGGCAGTCCTGAACCTGCTTCATTACTGAAATAGTGTGACCCTGAGTAAGACATTTTGTAGTAGTGTTTCTTCATCTCTACAGTGAAGAAATTTTGAAACCCTAAGAAAAAAGATAAAATGCTCTTGTGAGACTGCTGTGGTTTATAAGCGTCCCCCAAAGTCCATGTATTACTGGTTCGTCCCCAGGAAACCTCACTGCTTCAGCACATACTCTTTTTTTCTCACAGAACGAAAGAAACCTTTAATAATGCCATTTCTGTGGGTCAAAACAGTCAAACACTGGAAATTTCCAGTTGTATATAACTGTATAAGGAACTTGAGCTTTCTAACCCCAATATTTTATTACAAACCACAGAAATTATACTCTGTTACACTATCACAGAAGTAATCTGTATATCAGAGAGAATAACTTGCAACAGAATCAAGTAGTTGTATGTTTTAGAAATGTATTTGCTGAACAACTACGTACTTACCGTGTGCTGGAACAAAGCCAAATGCTTAGAATAAACAGCAGGCAGACAGAGACCTTGACTTTAATAATGCCTTTTAATACCTCCTAGAGTATATGTGAATATGTACTGGGTGGTGCTCTCTAAACATACATAAAAATATATATAATTACCTCTTTCCCTTCAAAGAATGGAGGTGTGGGAGTCTTACCTATAAATTGTGATAAATATTGTTTTAGAGAAGATTGCTGAGAAGATCAGGAAAACCTTTTTAAACAAAATGACATTTGATCTGACATAAGAGGAATGAGTTGAATACGGGTGAGTTCACTTGTGAAAAAAATGGGAGGCATAGGCAGAAGGAGAGGGTTGTATGGGCCTTGGCCTGTGATTATGCTCACATAGCTGGATGTTACTGAATGAACAGGATAGGCACATTAGAGGAAGTTGGACAATCAAGAACCATGTAGCATTTGTTTTAAAGTTTGCATTCATTGGGAAGCCACTGAAAAGATTGATATTAATAATTTAGACGATCACTCTGAATACTAGGTGAAGGAGGAAAGGCATGGTTGTTTTCATACATAGTACAAATCTTAAGTGAAAATAGTTTGATCTGTAGTTACTATCTTTTATATTTAAACTTAAAGTTCTGTTTAGCCTATTTTTCTGTTGTGAATTAAAGTTCCAAGTTTTAGTGGAGGGACACTTCCATGCTTCAGTTGCAGACCTTCTGTGTAACTCTCTGCTGTAGGAGAATTAGTCAGGTGTTTTTCCAGCTATTCATGGAGTATGTCAAGCTCTCCATAGTTGGTACAGTGAACGGTAGGGTAGGGAGACTGTCAGATTCTTTCAGAGAGGTACAATGCAAAACTGTGTTTTATCTCAGACATACTTGTTTTCCACAGTCTAATATTAATATAAAAATACTCTCTTTTAGAATGTGAAACACAGGAAGTATGCAAGGTGGAAGGCAACATATATTCATAATTGTTTGAAAAATGGGGAGACTCCTCAAGCAGGCCCTGTTGGAATTGAGGAAGATAATGGTATGTATTTGTATTAAGTAAATGATGCAGTACAATCATAACTGTTGAGTGGATTATTCAGAGTTTTAGAAGGAGCAATATCAAATCCAAAATCCATGGAAATTAAGTATAAAATTAATAAGCTCAAGGATAGTGAGCAACATGGCTAAAATTGCTCTAGTATCTGTCTATGTCAGCATGGTGGTTTGGCTATCTCCCCTGTCTAACCAAATTTCCTTTCTACATACAAAAGGCAATCCATTTATAATTTATAAAATGTGTCCAAACCACAAAGAACGTGGTATTAACTTTGTATTATCCATTTGATCTGTCTGTTAGTTTGTTTGTTTGTTGGGGGGTTAGGTAAGTAATACATCACATGGTTGAAAAATAATTATAGAGTACATAAAAAAATTCAAAATGAATTTCTGATTTCCACCATATCTGTGATCTCATCAATCCTACCAAATTTCAAACGAGGAAATACTACTTTTACTTTCTTTGTAATGATAATTTTTCATGAGTTCACAAGCAAATACGAATATATATGTCCCCTCTCTTTGCACCTTTACACACACAATTGGTAATATGTGTACTGTTTCACACCTGGCTTTTAAATATATACACACACACAAACACACACACACACACACACATACATATAGAATCACCATCATACATTATGTAGGTTTTATAAATATTTATGAAAAAATGAACATCATCTTACTTCACTTGGCATTTTAGTTACTATGTCATGGAATATGTGTAATGGAAAAAAAAGGGAAAAACTATTGACAAGCACTTGGAAAGTACAGTAAACTCACAGGAGAAAAAAAATCACTATTCTCTGTACAGAAAATTCCACATGGTCCTTACTTTTTTTTTTTCCTGTTTAAAAGTACAACCAGAAATGTATTTTCTGGGCCTAGGATTTAGCTCAGTGGTTTCGCTGCCTGCTTTGCAAGTGCAAAGACTGGAGATGGATCCCTGGTACCAAAAAAAAGAGAGATGTATGTTCTTTGTAAACAAGAAAAACATACAAATAATACATATTTAAGTTTCAACACACAAAAAAAAGTAACCTTCCATTAAAGGTCAAGAATCATATCCTCTGAAGTGAAATAATTTACTCTTAGCTACAGATAAAAAACGACTAGATTGGGCCAGGGATTTAGGTCAGTGGTTCTGCACCTGCCTTGCAAGCGCAAGGTTCTGAGTTCAATCCCTCGTACAAAAATAAAAAAAAGGATTGGATTGCCAGGAAGAATGGTCCTTGCATTTTATTATACAACTTTTAGGCATTTGTGAAGATGGTTTGTAGTGCGGGAGTCAATATATCTTTTCTTAAGAGGATGAGAGAATATTTTAAGCTTTGGACCATATAGTCTTGGTTGCAGTTGTGTGGTTCTGCTTTTAAAGTACAGAAGTAGCCATAGGCAATATGAAAACAAGTAAGCAAAATTGTGTTCCAGCAAAGCCTTATTTACAAAGCAGGCAGTGATCCACTGGCCAGAGCCAACTCCAGCCAAATTCATTCCCTTAGGTCTATTAATATGGTGAACTGTGTTAAAAAGTTGCCTAATATTGGACCAACTTTACATTGCACAATGAGCCCCACTTGTTCTTTTTGCTTTGGAACAGAATAAATACCCTTGGCATTATCTGCTCTTTTACTCCTAGAAACCTTGGGATGCAGCTAGCCCTGGTACTAATGATCGCCCTTTTTGTTCTATTCTATGCGAGTGTCTCTGTGGGTGATTTTTTTCTTAATCAGTGCTCATTCAATGAATATGTACTGATGAGATAAGTGATATTTTACTTCTGTGTGATTTCTCCATGTGTGCAGTGCTCACTGTTTTCAGTTCTACATAGGGATCTGCATATTTTACAAGGCTATATATCCACTGATGAAATGACAGCTGAGTGTTTTCATGTATCATTTAAGAATGAGTAGGTGGTACATAAGCACACAAGGAAGATGCTGAAATCTGTAGTCATTAAGGAAAATCAGAATCACTGCACGATAACTTGCCTACTAGCGTCTAAAGCTAAAGTTTAACAAGCTGGTATCAAGTTTGGAGAGGGCTGCTGAGCAGTCTGGCACTCCCATACATTGCTTATAGAAAAGACGGGGAGAATTGGTAGTTTTATATAAAACTAAGTATAATACTTCACATAAGACCTAGCAGTTCTACCCTAAGCTGTAGGAATAAATCAATTTAGTGCGCAGATGAGTGTTAAAGGAGGAGATTTTCTACAAAAGAATGTGGAATGAGCTTCTGGGGTAATAGGAGTACCCTATTACGTGGCTCTGGTGGTGTTTCACAGTGTCTCAGTTTTTTAAAACTATACGTGTACCTCTACAAAATGTGAATTTTACTACTGTATATAAGTAATACCTAATGAAAATCCCCCAAAAAGACCCCCCAAAAAACAATTAGTGTTTTATATATTTATTCAGAAGGCTACTAAGAGTTACATACTGCCTCTGGGTGAAGAAGAAATACCGTACTCGTGCATGTGAATGCTATGCTCAAACTGCTCTATAGTTCATCTCCTAAAGATGCACACTTTCATCCAGCATTTCAGGTAATGTTTTCTTATGTATTCATGAAGTACATACTTCATTATCTGACCTTGCCTGATTTTTAACAGTAGTTTTCATACAGAATATTTCTAGCTATTTTATAGGGAAGTGAATAGGAAAAAGCAAATTTATAAGGTTGTGGGACAAATCCAGGGGCTATTAGTAAGCCACGTGGTAAACAGTGACAGCCTGGTAAAGTATTGGCTGTGGAGTTAAGACAAGCTAGAGACAGTTCGATGAGGGACAAGAGAGGAAATGGAAGATAATTGTTACGTTCCCAGATTAAGTGATTGCAGACATGGTGATTCCATGAAAGAAATGGATCATTTAGGATGAACAAATTTGGTGGAGAAATTTAAGAGAAGACATTGAGATACTAAGGTAATTAATTACTCCTTGAAGTAGTCCAACTGGCAGTTAGATATCCTACCAAAGATTTCAGAAGGAGGGGCTGGGATAAAATAGAACTTTGAAGTTTTTTACTTAAAAGCAAGAGGTAAAGCCAAAGTTAAATGTTGAGACTCTAGGGAATGTAGGTAGCTTAAGAACTAAGCAAAGATTGAATGGTTCTTCATATTTAGTAATTATTGTTATTATTATTTAGATTACATTGAAAATTAAAGCTGAGTCACTGCTATCTTGTTATATATCTTGTTAGATATGTTTGTAGTAAATGTAAAAATACATGCTATATTTTTCATTAACTTCAAATATTTGATTTAAAACATTTGACTTTACCTCCTTTATGTGGTCATGCATATACTTTACTTTTTAATTTTTATCTATTGTTGAGATAGGGTCTCAGTATGTAGTGTAGACTGACCTTGAACTCACTATGTAGCACATGCTGTCCTCACACTCCTGCCTCATCCTCCCAAATGCCGGGAATACAGGCATGTACCAACACCCTCAGCCTTCAATTATGCATATACTCTTAAATATGCCTTTATTGCTTTCACTGTAGTGTGGTTTTAAGGATTATTTGAGATGTGTCATTTTAGATATATTAAAATGCCTAATCGATTTTATTTTTCAAGCGTTTTTATAGTATCACTGAATTCTATAATTTTTAAGTTCTTAACTTTTCCCTTGAAAGAATGAAGTATTATGTTAACTTGTTCATATCTGGAAAACAGAAATGGTACGGCCAGAAGCATAAGTAAATCTATCTACACCAACATAAAAAACAAGCATACAAATGAGTTTTCTATTTGTCTGGTTTTCTTTAGTTTTTGAGTGTTTCTTTTCTGACATAAAACCTTTGTATAATGAAATGCATGTATGTTAAATGTATAATTCATTGACATTGGAGACATTTAATGCACCTTTCTCTAAATCTAAAACATTTCCATTACACCCTCTCAAAAAAACTACTTTTCACTCCTTTCCAGTCTATTCCCACTTTGAGAGACAATTGAATTTTGTTTCTTTTTTTTTGTTTTTTTTTTCTTTTTTTGGTACCAGGTATCAAACTCTGGTCCTTGCCCTTGCAAGGCAGGCGGCAGAACCACTGAGCTAAATCCTTGGCCCTTGTTTCTTTTTCTTCACCATACATTAGTTCTGCCTATTCTAGAATCTGAAATAAAGGGAATCATACAGTAGTATTTTGTGCCAGCTTCTTTCTTTTAGAATTACGTCTGTGAAATTCACGAATACTCTAGACCGGTTTCATGTCCTCAAACTGGAAATCTATTAGACGATACCCACCCCCTTAGCTGCTGGCAGCCACCATTGTTTTCTGTCCCAATGTATCTGACTACTCCAGACACCTAATGTTCAGTGGAACCAAATAGTATCTGATCTTTTCTGACAAGCTTATTTTGCATTGCATTGCATAATGTCTTCAAGCATCCTCTGTGTTAGAGAATTTCATTCAAAAGGCTGAATGGCTGAATTTGATTGATAGGAAGATAGATATCCAGCCAACCACTGACCTATTAATGGATATTTCTAATATTTACATCTTTTGGTTGTTATAAGTAATACTCTATAAACATTAATGTTTTTGCCCATTTTTTAATGAGTTGCTTATCTTTTTGTCATTGAGTCATGTATAAATTATTAATTACATATAGTCATTTGTCAAATACGTGGTTTGAAAATAGTCTGTTCTGTATTTACTTAGTTTTTAATTGTCTTTTGGTTAGCCAAAGCTTTAATGATATAAAGTATAATTTATAATTTTTAAATTTTTTATGATTTTTTTCTAGGAAATCTACTTCAGAAATACTATTTCTAATCTGGAATATTTATAGCTTTTACTTTTAGATCTGTAATATATCTTGTACCTGTTATTTTCAGTGTATAATATGAGATATGAATTAATGGTCTTCCTATAAACACTTATAAGAATGTCCTATTATTCCAGTATCATATGTTACACTTTCCTTTCCCGTTAAGTTTCTTTGATTCCTTTGCCCAAAATTAAGTTAACCTGTACATGTGACTCTGTCTCCACTCAGTTCTATTCGTGTATTTTCCTGACCTGTGTCATTACTATACCCCTTTGCTGCCTTGTAAATCTTGAAGTCAGATGATACACGTCCTCCAGTCTTTCTCTTCTTTTTCAAGATTTTAACTATTCTAAGAAACAGGATTTCAGATTGTACTTTTAAAAATGTCTGTTGAGGTTATGATTATTATTGCATTGATTTATAGATCATTTTAGGACAATTGATATCTTAATACTAAGTCCATCAATACATTAAATACCTCATTTCTTTAAGCCTTTAATTTTTTTCAGAGATATTTCATATTTTTTGGAATAGAGTTTTGTACCTCTTTTTATAAATGTTTTTCCAAGTATTTTGTATCTTTTTATTCTTTGTAAGTGAAATTATTATCCTGATTTAGTGTTTTCAATGTTTGCCTCTAGTGTATGAATTTCAGCTGATTTTTTTTGTATACTGATCTTGTACCAGTACACCTATTAGTTCTAGTAATTTGTAAATTCCCATTTATCTATTAGTTCTAGTAATCTGTAAATTCCTTCAGTGTTTCTGTGTAGATAACCATGTTACCTAAAAGAAAAGTTTCACTTCTTTCTTTCCAATCTTTATGTCTACTCCAGCCACAGCCTTTCCTATTGTACCAGTGGTGATAAATATACCCATTTTTTTGTTTGTTTTTTTGTCCTGTGATACTGAGAAATTTCCTTTATTTACTCGGGCTATTAAGAATATTTGTTATACCTGGGTGTGGTGGTGCACACTGTCATCCCAGCACTCGGGAGACTGAGGCAGGAGCATCTCTGTGAGTTCGAGACCAGCCTGGGCTACATAGGGAGTTCCAGGTCAGGTTCAGCTACATAGTGAGACCCTGTCTCAAAGAACCAAAAAAAAGAATATTTGTTATAAGTGGATGTTGAATTTTGTTGAGTTCTTTATACATTTATTTATTGGAATTGGCGTATGGTTTTCCTTCTGTTAATATATGTTACATTGATTGATTTTTCAAATGTTGAACCATAGTTGCACTTTTTGGTTAAGCCCCACTCATTCACGAAGGAACTTTGTATTATATGGCTAGATTTGATACTTTTATTAAGGATTAAGGATTTGTGTGTCAGTGTTCAAGTCTTTGTGACGTTTTAGTATTGTTCTGTTTTATGACACTTTTTGTATAAGATTGACACTTTACTTAAATATGTAATCCATGTAGGCCATAATTGTAGGAAGGTTTTTATCCTATGAAGTCAGTTTCTTCAATAGGTATAATACTGGTCAGATCATCTCTTGGGTAAGTAACAGTAGTTTATATCTTTCACTGAGTGTTGTTTCTCTTAGGTTCTTCAGGTGACTGATTTGACATGTCCTTATTGTCTTACCTTGTCTTTCTGATGTGTATGGGATGTTTATTGATAGCACCTCTTTTCTTTTGTATCTAATATTCATGACATTTGTTCTCTTTTTTTCCTATATTCTTTATGTTTTCCCTTATCTTTGTTGTTTTGTAATTATTTAATTTTATAAAATGAACTTTATTTTTCTTATCATTAATTCGGTTTTGTCTCTTATTAAAATTAATCTTGTCAGTCTGCTTTTTAAAGCAGTCTTCCACATTATCCAACAATGTAGTGTATTTTAAAAGTCTAGAGCCAACATTTCAAAAGAATGTATCTCCTCACCTCTTCTCCATAGATGACTAAATGTGAAATTTCATTCCTTTGTTCTTGTTTAACTTAATACTTTGAACAATACACACAATCATTTAATAGCTAGCACACAGTAAATACTGAGTGAGAGGCAGCTGTCAACAAATAGAGTTGATACTGGATGGCATAAGTATGAAATGTTTGCCAAAAATGTCCTTGATTTTTTATTTCAAGAAACTTTATTTTAAAGAAAAATATGCCATGTATAAAAAATTTGCAGAATTGGAAAGTATTAACCTGAAAAAAGTAATAATCCTATTGTGGAACAATTAATTTTTAAAAAAATAAAATAAAGCTTGTATTTTGAAAGATGGGGCCTATTTATCAACTGCAGTAAGTAGTATTGCATTTGTAAGGTATTTTTTCATTTGTTTTGTTTTATTTTGTTTTGTTTTTTGGTCATGTGAATGTAGCAAAAAGAATACATTTGTTTTACTTTGACATTATGTCTAAATAGATATTGAAGAAAATGAAGAAGCTGGCGCAACCTCTCTGCCTACTCAGCCACCTCAGCCATCATCCTCTTCAGTTTTTGACCCAAGCAACATCCCATCAGGCAGCTATACTGGAATCCAGATTCCTCCAGGCGCACACGCCCCAGCTAACACACCTGCAGAAGTGCCACATGGTGCAGGTAAGACATTCATATTCCCCTCTCGTGAGTAAGAACTTCACTTCCCTCATTTGTGTTCCTCCTAATGGTGGTCTGCAGCAGAGCAGAACCCTTACCCTCCTGCAAAAAGCACTAAATTCTCCTTGAAGTTTTACTGTTTATTGCACCATAGTTCTTTGTGCAATAACAAGTATTGTAGTGCATTGTTTAATGTTGTTTATTAAAAAGAGTAATTTCTACATTTTTGTATGTATTAGTTTTTCTTTTTCTTTCCTTCCCTTCCCTTTGCTCCCTCCCCTTCAGTGTCATTTGAGAATAACAGTGAGGCAAGCGAGATTCCTTGTAGGCTCTAGGTCAGTAGTGCACTATGGTAACAAAATTTGGGCCTTTAGGTCATTTTGCATAAGTTAAGTAACATTTAAAGGTTTTCTGTTTCAATCACCTTTTTCTTCATGTTTTAAATCTTTCAGCTTTGTATTATATGTAGATAATGTTTCTAATATGAGAAAATGAAAAATAATGGAAACAAAGTCTTTTGTAGATAGGAAGGGAGGGAGGGGTTGAAAGCAGGCCAGGGAAAGGGGAAAAAATAAGAACCAAGATTAATTATGTAAAGGTACAAATTTCCAACAATGAATGTCATTATATTGTACACATTAAATGTACCAATAAAATTAATTTTTAAAAAAGATTGTTAATGAAATCGATCATCACAGCACTGATCATTTGTCATCCTTCGGGATAATCTACCTTGACTTTTCAATGCCTTATGGTCCATGTGATGACATTCATAGTCAAACCAATTTGAATTTCTTTGTTTTTGAGGGGGTTTTTTTGAGTAAAATTTCATGGTGTGCTGTTTTAAATATTTTAATATCTTTTTAAAACCTTCTAGATTTGCAATGTAGTGTAGCTAAGCAAAAGCAGTACTTTAGTATGTTTGCCTTAGATGAATACATTCCAAATACACTTGAACGTGTCAGCTCTGATCAAGAATCCCAGATGGGCATTCTCATGGAGGGGTCAGCGTGGTCCTTTCAGGAATCAGATAATACTGTTTAATAGTTGCTACTAAATCACATGCTTGCTGACCCACAAATTAAACTGGTATTTAACTTCTCTCAAGCTAGATTTTTTTCTTTTATCTAAATTAATCATACTTATTTTTCATAGTTATTTTAATTTTTAAAGGTATAAAAATTTGATAGTAAACCTAACACAGAAATCCACAATCAGTAAATTAGCTTCTTTGACTTGATTTCTTCCCTCTTCCTTCCAATTTTTATTCCAAAGAGAAGACATTTAATGACAAGTTAACAAGCATTTAAAATCATTTTTTTTGAACCAAGAGAAGTGTTACATCTAGGATTAAAACTTTTAAAAATCTTACAGAAAGATTATCCAAGAGATATTGCCTTAGATAATACCTAAGGGATAGCTGCATACACGTTGTACGTTGTATGTCGTTTGTGTACTATATGTATTCTCCCCACCACCACATACATATTTGTGTGTGTGTTTGTGTGTGTTAAAGCACTTTTAGTAGGACTACATTAAGCTGATGAAATTGCTGTTTTTGTACAACAAAAATTATAAAGTACTGGTAATTTCGCAGGCTCAAACATACAATATGCACCACTTGAAATATTTATGACATGAAGATAGTTATTAGGAGGTAGTAGTCTATTTCATTTTGATCCGGTTAATTGGGTGTAGATTGTTTTATATTTCTTTCTTCCTCGCTCCCCTTTCCCCCTCTGCCTCTCTCCTTGTCTCCCTTCTTCCCTCCTTCCCATTCCTTAGAAAAGGGAATAACCAAACACTTTAGAATTTTTGTAGGATGAGGACCTATCTTATTTTATACATTTAGCATGTCATAGCTGTTTAAACCATTATTCTTGCAGCAGCTATATTATATATCGTTGTCTCTTATTTATGGAGTCTAAAGAGATTAACACTTAGCAGAGAAAATAGACATACCCAATGAGAAAGCCAGAATTTGAACTCAAGTCCAACCCATGCTTTTGCAACTTCCTTTCTGTGTCCCTTCCTCCAAGAAGCTAAAATCCTGTCAACTTCAAACCCTGCTTTTCTGATAAGTCTTTCCCCCTTCATTGTTGGTTTGAGGCGTTGGATTCTCCTCTTACCCCTAGATTTCTTTTCTATTTTACTCACAGTATTTCAAAAATCAATTCATAGTTATCTAATAAAAAAATTACTTTTTTATTTATAAATATAGCAGATGTTTCCCCTCTTACTCACATAAAGAATGATTTACTTTCTCAAATATAAAGCTTCAGGATGTACTTTTATCAAAGGGAAATCCTTAAGATACCTGAAAAGAATAGTTTGTACTACTTTACAGTTTTCATTTCTTCCATAAAAAAGCAAAAGGGCTACAGTGAAGGTGGGATAGCAGCTACTTAAACACACCATATTCACCTGTTGTGCTTTAACCACTAGGCAAGTATCACGTGGAAGCAGTTATTGTCTACTTTTTTCCTCTTGAAAATACATGCTTCTTACAGTTTACAGTATTATAAAAATCTAATTAGATAAAATTGTGTTATAATAATACTAGCCTTTTAATTATAAAAGCAGCTCACCTCATACTAGACATACTATTAACACTGACCTGTTGTTTCCCTTGATCTGTTCCCCATAATTAAACTGAGGTTTACCTCAGCCCAGTCCTTGTCTTTCTTACCTTTACCTCTCCTGTTCCTGTTGGTCAGCATATCTTCCCCCCTTTTTCTCAGCCTCTGCAAAACCTTTCTCTCATAGTTCTGTTTATTTGTTGTATAATCTTCTGTAGTTTCCTAACCAACACCCATGTCTCCTTTTTACAACCCCTGCATCACTTAGTCAATAGAGCCGCTCAGTGCTTACCTAGAAATCTCTTTAATTCTTTAATATGCCTTCATCCCATCTAATGTGCTGTATATGTATATATGCACTTAAAAAATTAATCAGAGGGTTACTTCTTAACACTTCTTTTGTATCAAATAACAGGAAAATATTTCAAGCTTATTCTGCTGTCCTGCAGTAGTGTTTTTAGAGTCACATCTCTCCAGCAGACTACAGTCTGGGGGCCATAACCCTTTCCACATTGTCAAAATTGAAGGAAGAAATGACTGAATGTGGGCATTTCCACAAATAAGTAAACAGCATGTCCTAATTTAACAGGTATTTATAAGGGTGTGTTGCACCACTCCTCTCAGCCCATGGGAATAGCTCTGATGGCTGCCAGTGTCCAGGCCTGGCCTCCAGGCCTCCAGATAAACAAGAGGCAGCATCTTCTGGCTGTGCCGCCTGAGGCGTGTGGAACAGGCTCTCAGCAGTTCAAGTTGCTGTTCAGTAATTGTCAACATAGGACTTAATGAGATGCAGGCTACTTTTTCTTTTTTTAAATATTGCTCAAATGAAATTTTACTACATAACTAAACATTTTCTCCCTGTAAATTCAATTTGTTCTTGTTAATATTGCCTAGTCAGTCACATAAAGTTGTACAAATAAGCATTTGAAAGTTAAAGCAGGCCCTGACCAAAAACTATGCCTTTCAAAACAATCTAGTGGTTGGTTGGAAGATTTTAATTTAGGAAAGTAATACAAATTATTAGCAACTTGATATATAGGTTGGATTCTGAGATGGTTTATAAAGTTGCCTTTAAAAAAAAATCTGTCTAATGAATATCTACCATCCTCTACACACATTTTTAAGTACATGGGCCGGGGATTTAGCTCAGCGATTTGGTGGTTTGCCTTGCAAACGCAACGCGAGGACCTGAGTTCAATCTCCGGTACCAAAAACAAAACAAAACAAACAAACAAACAAAAAAACATTTTAAAGTACAGCTGCTTCAAAACACTAGACTTGTCTTTGAAGATCCCTCTTAGACCTTACATTCAAATTTTTTTTAAGTATTATTTTTGTACTTTGAAATGTTTGGCAGGTTTAGGGGAAAGATTATTTCAAATATTTATTGTTTCAATATACATGTATTTGCTTAGCTCTTATCAAAATCCAGCAAAAAATATTAACAGTTGGTGAATTTAAAATTTGTAAGTCTCCTGACTTTGTAATAATACATACATTTTTTTCTCTGAGTATGTCCATATATATAGTAGTGTATAAGAATACTGACTAAAGCATGACCTATCATAGCAGTATCAGTAGTCTCCGTAGCAACCTAAATTTTTATACAATGAACTACTTTTATAGTGTATGCATAGAATGAAACACTAGGTAATCATTAAAAAGAACAAGGCAGATTGAAATGTATTGATCTGGAATTATTGCTAAGCCATATGCAATGAGAAATACCACATCCAGTATAGTATACATGCAGAGTACGTTACTGTTTGCAAAACACATAGAGTGTGCCTTTTTGAAGGACAAGGGGATTTACTTAGAGGACTTTGATTTAGCAAAGAGTACAGACTTCTTAGCAAAGAATAGCAGTGAGATAGATAGATTGATAAATTTGACTATAAACACACGAAATGCACAGTGCCTTTGGAAAAGGTAATAGCGCAGAAGTAGAGTAGGAATGAGAGACATGTTTTCAAGTACATATTTTTTTGTACTATTTAAATTTGTGCTTTACTTTCCCCCGTGTATCTTGTATTTTTCAACTAAGTATTTTTGTTTGATTTTTAGTTAAAAGATACAATTTTCATGACATTTAATAGTTTCAATGGCTATAAAAAAAGGTTTTTGCCCTAATACAAATTAAATGAAGTAAAATAGTTAAATAAATTTAAACTGTTATGTTCCTTGAGTTTGGTGATGAGTAGATCCCTCAAAATCAACATCTCATATTAGGGAAACTATTTTAGTGTGTTAATCTTTATAAAACCATCATTCTAGTACTCTTAGGATATATACTTGTGATTCTAGAAATGTCTTTATCTTGTCTTTCCTCTCTTCCTGTTTCCTACTCAGGCCTTTGCCACTTAACCTTTTCTACAGATTGCCTATTCCAGTTAAACTGTTCGGATAAAACCTATTAGCTTGGAGCAAATGAACTTAGCTTTGAGAAGTTATTTGACTTCAGTGTTCAACTTGTAGTGTTAATTTCACTGCTAGTTACTCATTGAATATGACAATTTTGACAAGTTTCAGCAGAAAGTCAAAATGAATTGTTAATGGATCTACAAAACTACCATCTTAAAGGGGTGCTAACTTGAGCCAGGTATGGTGGCACAGGCCTGTGAAGTCAGTACCTCAGGAGGGTCATGAAGGAGGATCACAGCCTGGGCAATTTACAAACGTATCTCAAAATTAAAAATAAAAATCTGGGTGTGGTAGCACACATCTGTAATCCCAGTACCCCACGGCCTGACACCAGAGGATCACCACAGGTTCAAGACCAACCTGAACTACATAGCAAAATCATGACTCAAAAAAAACAAAAATAAATAAATAAATTTTTAAAGGTGTGGAGCTCAGTGCAAAGGCTCTAGTTTAAATCCTCAGTATGGAGGGAGTTAACTTTAAAATTTGAACTGTAAAATTTGAATTTTGTACAAAGAATGAAATAGTATTTATAAGTTAAATTGTGTCATAATTATGTTCCACTTTGTCCCCAAAAATATTTAATTGATTAAAAAATTTAAAAATTGGAAAGAAATTTGTTACTTTTACGAGTGTATGGTAAGAATTAAATGAAAAATAAGTTGAAGTATTATACATGGCATGTAAACACTAATGATATATTTTCCTGCATATGTTCCAATACCATTGTCTAACATGAATTAAGTTTAATTTGGAATCCATTAAGTTGTCAAAAAATAATGAATTCCCTCATGATTCTTTCAGTTCTTTCCTAATATATAATTGAGAAATGCAACATTTTACACCCATTTGTGGTTTTCTGGTTTGCAGGTGTAACGAGTAATCCTATCCAGCCTTCTCCACAGACTGTCCCCGCCATTGATCCTGCACTGTTCAGTACAGTTTCCCAAGGTGAGCCAGCTGTCTGTGCTAAACTACGTCATCACCTTTCAATTGGGATGTTATTTGTAATTTTACCTTGAGTACATATGTGTAAATATTCTTTATTTAAATCAGAATGTTTAGGTTTATGTTCACTGGATTTCCAAATAAACCAGGATTGCTTCATAGTCTCAAAAATACCTACATCTAAAGGTTCACTTTTGTTAGCTTTCTTTTTCTGTACTACTTGATACAGTGGCACAAACATCTTGTCAGGGCTACTGTGAAAGCTTAATGCTAGATTAGTTTGATTCAGGATTACCATGTGTTGTGATAATGTTGTTACTTTTAACTACACTATTGTTAAATTATCTCAAAAGAAGGACCTAAGGACTAAAGGTGTAGGGAAAATGGGAAGGGTGGGGGAAAGGTAATAAGGGAAAAGAAAAAAATAGGAGAAAATGAAAAAATGGAAATAAAGTGTTTGTAAATGGGGAGAGGAGGAGGGGGTGAAGGGAGGACACAGACAAGGGGAAAAAATGAGAACCAAGACCTGTCATGTAAAGGTACAAGATCCCAATAACGAATGTAACTGTACTGTATACCTAAAATGTACCAATAAACTCAATAAAAAAAAGAAAAAAGAAAGGAACTGACCATTGTTGAAATAAAAATCTTTGAGGTTGAGTATTGTAGTTGGTTTATAGGCTATGTGATTGGTTTGTTGGTTGTAATTTTTTCCTACTTTTCTTTTTTTTTTTACCTCAAGTCAGATTTTGGATTTATTTTGATCTTTGAGTTTGTCTCTTCATATATTTAATGAGATTCGAGTGTTTTTATATTTTAAAATCATGATTTTTTGCTTTTTTCGTAGTTGTCACTCATTTTCTGCTGATATTATATGCACAGGTGTGTTCTCCCACTTGATTTTATATTCTTCTGTGTGAGTGGGTTCTGTCTATGGCACCTGCCCATCAGCTGTGCAGTGAGCAGAGCCAATAAGGAAGGTGTGAAGAAAAGTGGATCCCACACAACGTTGTCAGTCTTGCACTATCTGAGCAGTTTGTTCAACAGTTTTAGGGCGCTGTCTTGTATGTTTTTTTGCCTGTGGTAAAAGTGAAGTTGAAAAGCTCTTAGGGTTAAGGTTGATATGCAGAGGTTTGTGGAATGGGAAAAGACAGAAAATAAGCGTATTTTGTTCTTGTTCTCTGTAAAGATCCCCATGCTCACACTTCATGTCTGCCTCTTCACTTTCTGAGCTTTCTCTAGAAAAGATATTGACTCCTGAAATGAATTGAGCTTTTTTCCCATGTTTATCTCATAGCATATATCTTCTTCCACTGGATTTCTGCTTTTCAACAAATTTATCAGTTCTCTTTTTTTCAGTGTTTCTATTACGTCTCTTCTATCCTTTTGCTTTTCAATTTTACAGATTTATTTTCTTTTGTACTACCTTGCCATTTTACTATGGTTTCAGGAGGACGAGGAGTCCTCCTAAGCATATATATGCTTGGGCTGCAGTCTAGAACCAGAACCCTCGAGTCCTTCACATAACTATGTTGGCAGTCCAAAGGGAGCCCATTGCGTTCACTGTTGATAAGGTAGTTGTGTGTTCAAGCTCCAGGAACCGTAGAAGAATTATTACTTATATTGAAGTGCATGGATTATTTTACATTTATTCTACTTTTCTCAGTTTGCCAAAAGCATATGGTTATGAGAACTAAAATTAAGAGCTATCATGAACTTTGAATCCTGATAGATGTTTCGTAGGGGAACATAGTATTATGGTGGTAAGACTAGGTAAGGAACCTGTACTAAATTCTGGACATTACCCAAGAACATAGTGAAATATATTTATCTGTTAGAGACAAAGACATAACCTGCCCAATTTATGTAATGTGCCTTTTTTAAGCTTGGTTTCTAGACTCCTACCTATACATACATAGATTCCACCTGTATGTGCTATATGTAAAATCTGACATGGAAATTTTTGAAAGAGAAATACTTAAACAGATCAATAGCAAATATAAACAAAGGGAAAGAAGCTAATCATATCAAAGGAAACAGTAAACAGTAAAGAAACAACCCATGGGATGGAGAAAATATTTACTGACTGTTCATCTGACACAAGGTTCATATCCAGAATAAATAAGGAACACAAGAAAACCAAGTAATTCAGTTAAAAATGGACAGTTGTTATGAATACATAATTCTCAAAAGAAATGCACATTACCCACATATACGTGAAGAAATGTTCGTGATTATTATCCATCAGACAAATACAAATCCAAGCTACAATGAGTTGCATCTCGCTCTAGAGTGGTGTAAAAAAATACTAGGTTCTAAAGAAGGAGGAAATCTCTGCTACTGATAGGAATATAAATTACTGCAATAATTATGGAAAACAAGGTGGAGATTCCTCAGAACACCAAAAATAGATCTAGTACAGGAATCAACTATCCCATTTCTGGGTGTATATTCAAAGGAAATTAAATCAGCATTTGAAAGATACCTACAGACATGTGTATAATTTGAAATTATCAGTTCTTTCTTTCATAGATTGCTATTAACATTCCATCTAAAACTTCCCACCAGGGCCAGGGGTTTGGCTCAGTGATTCTGCAGCCTGCCTCACAAGCACAAGGGCCCAAGTTCGATCCCTGGTACCAAAACAAAACAAAACAAAACAAAGAATAAAACTTCCCACCAAACCCGGGTCTTCCAGATTTCACCTGTGATATCTTTTAAGAGTCTTACAGTTTTTATGTTAGACATGTGATCCACTTTAAGTTAAATTTGAAAAGGGTAATAATAAGGTCTATGTCTGGGTTCCTTTTTTATTTTTTATTTTTTTGTAATGGATGTCCTGTAACTTCCAGCACCAGTATGTTAAAACAAGTATCATTTTGCTTTTTTTGTTAAAGATCAGTGGTTTGTGGGTATCTTTGCTCAGTGTCTATTCTGTTCAAATGATTTATTTGTATTTTCTTTTAGTAATATCACACTGTCCTGATTAGTGTAAATTTATACAATATCTTCAGTCTGGAGAGTCAATCTTATAACTCATTTTTTTCTCCTTAAATGGAATTGACAACCATGGGTCTTTTGCCACTCCATACACACTGTACAGTTTTTTTGTTGATGAGCACAAAGTAACAAACTGGAACTTTTTTTTTTCAGCTTTAATTGAGTTTATTGGTACATTTTAGGGATACAGCACAGTTACATTCATTGTTGGGATCTTGTACCTCTCATGACAAGTCTTGATTCTCATTTTTTCCCCTTACCCCTGCCCTCCCTTCACCCCTTCCCCCCCTCCCCATCTACAAACACTTTATTTCCATCTTTTCATTATCTCACATTTTGTTCTTTTCCCTTATTACCCTTCCCCTACCCATCCCACCTTCCCTAAACCTTTAGCTCCTTTCTTCCCATTTCTAAATGTCAGTAATCTTATTAGGACCTTATGTATTATTGCAGATTATTCACACCAGGGAAACTATTCGGTATTTACACATGTGTGACTTATTTATTTCACTTAGGAGTATATCTTCAATATGTATCCATTTTCCTATGAATGAATCTAGTTTCTTGTTCTTTATGGCTGAGTAATATTCCATTTTATAGAAAAACCACATCTTCTTTATCCAGTTTCCAACGGATGGGCAAATGGGCTGATCAGCTTTAAGAGTTTATTGGTACATTTTAGGGATACAGCACAGTTACATTCATTGTTGGGATCTTGTACCTCTCATGACAAGTCTTGATTCTCATTTTTTCCCCTTACCCCTGCCCTCCCTTCACCCCTTCCCCCCCTCCCCATCTACAAACACTTTATTTCCATCTTTTCATTATCTCACATTTTGTTCTTTTCCCTT